AAAAAAAAAAAAAAATTGGAAATATTATTACAATAAAAGCTAAAACATATTGTGTTGATCTAACATGCAAATTATTAGTTTAGAAAGAAATATCTAAATATTTATAATATATATTATTACAAATTATTATAATAAGCCAACAAATCATCTGTCGAACTATCCATGTAAATTATCAACTTATATAATAAATAACATTTTTGTGATACTTATTATTTTGCATTATAATGATAAACTAACAAGTGATCTATGAAACAACGATGTAAATTGTTAGTATAAAAAAAATAACAAAATAAATATAATGTATATTGTTATTAATTATAATGATAAATCAGTCTAGAACTGTCATATAAATTATTGGATTACAAAGAAAATTTAAGATACTTATAAAATCGTTAAAATTTATAAAAAACAAACCAAACAATATTGATGTTGTTATAAAAATGGAAAATATAAAGAACACCAAATAGAAGCCGGATAGAAATTATACTGAATATTTCTTTCTTCTTTCTTTCTTTCAATGGTGCAAATTTTCTCTACACTTGGAGTGCCTTTTATAGGCAAAACTCTTCCGACACAATTCACATCAATTATTAATATCCATACCCCATTTCACTATTCCCATAACATCAAATAATGGAGTGAAATTATTTTGTGCATAGTGGTTTATTCCACTTGTACATATTATAACACTCCCCCTTGGAATAACCACAATGCAATGTGCGTTTATGCTGCCTCATTAAAAACCTTATCCGGAAAAACCCTGTGGGGAAAAACTGAGATAAGGAAAAAAGAGTACAGCCGCACATGCTCCCCCTCGAGTTATCATCTGTGTAAATCTCGAAGATGTCTCATTCCAATGTTATGGACATGCTTTCGGAACGTTGTAGTTGGGAGAGCCTTTGTAAACAAATCTGCTGCGTTATCACTTGATGGGATGTATTGAACCTTGATTTGTTTGTTTCTTTCAAGCTCTTGAGTGTATGAGAAGAACTTTGGTGGGATATGTTTAGTTCTGCCACTCTTGATGTATCCTTCGTTGGTCTGAGCGACACATGCTGCATTGTCTTCGAATATCACCGTCGGGTCTTTATTATTCGAGAATCCACTGGCTTGTTGGATGTGTTGAGTCATGTTTTTGAGCCAGATGCTTTCCCTAGTTGCTTCATGCAGTGCAATGATTTCAGCATGGTTTGAAGATGTAGCCACTAGTGTTTGTTTCTGAGAGCGCCAAGAAAATGCAGTTCCACCAATCGTGAAAACGTAGCCAGTCTGAGATCTTGCCTTATGTGGGTCTGATAAATATCCTGCATCTGCAAAACTGATCATTTCATGTTTTTTATCATTTGAGTAAAATACTCCCAGATCGATTGTTCCTTGGAGATAACGGAATATATGCTTGATTCCATTCCAGTGTCTCCTCGTAGGTGACGAGTTATATCTTGCTAATAAATTGGTAGCAAAATATATATCTGGTCTGGTGCAATTAGCAAGATACATAAGAGCTCCTATTGCACTCATATATGGTGCCTCAGGACCAAGTACTTCTTCATTTTCTTCACATGGTCGAAATGGATCCTTTTCAACATCCAATGTTCGGTTAACCATCGGAGTACTAAGGGGATTAGCTTTGTCCATATTAAATCATTTCAATACTCTTTTAGTATAGTTAGATTGATGGATAAATATCCCATTTTTTACTCTCTCTATCTGTTAACCGAGACAATATTTGGTTTTTCAGAGATCTTTCATTTCAAATTTGCCTTTCAAAAAGGTAACTGCTTCTTGTATTTCATTTGTTGTTCCAATAATATTAAGGTCATCAACATAGACAGCTATTATCACAACTCCATTATGCGATTTCTTTATAAAGACACACGGACATATTTGATCATTTAAATATCCCCTTTTTAATAATTGTTCACTCAAACAATTATACCACATACGCCCGGATTGTTTCAAGCCGTATAATGATCTTTGCAATTTTAACGCACATAACTCTCTAGGTTTAGAGTTTAGTGCTTCGGGCATTCTGATTCCTTCTGGGATTTTCATATATATGTCAGTGTCGAGTGATCCATACAAATAAGCAGTTACAACATCTATGAGACGCATCTCAAGATTTTCATGGATAGCTAAACTCATCAAGTATCTGAAAGTATTTGACAGGGGAATATGTCTCATCATAATCAATCCCAGGCCTTTGGGAAAATCCATGTGCTACAAGGCGAGCTTTATATCTCGTGATCTCATTTTTCTCATTTCTCTTTCTGGTGAAAACCCATTTGTATCCAATAGGTTTTATGTCTTTAGGTATAATGGAAAAAGGCCCAAAAACTTTTCGTTTATTGAGTGAATCTAACTCGGCTTGGATGGCGCCTTTCCATTTTTCCCAATCATGTCTTTTCTGACATTCAGTTACAGATTTTGGTTCAGGATCCTCAACTTCATTTTCAATTTCTTTTGATACCATATATGCAAATGCATCATCAATATTTGTGATCTCATCACGCTTCCAAAGATTCCCATTATTTACATAATTGATGGAAATTTCAATATTTTTATTCTGACTCGAAATTTTTTCATCATCTTGATTCTTTTCCAAATTCAGGTCACGAATTTCTCTTTTCTTTCGAGGATTCTTATCTTTAGACCCAATTGGTCTTCCTCGTTTCAAGCGTGTCTTTGACTCATTTGGCACATCATTAGTTGTCATTTCTTTTGGAATCTCAATTCGAGTAGGGGCATTTACAGCTGCCACATGTGATTTGGTCACCCTTTTTAAATCAGTAAATGCATCTGGCAATTGATTTGCAATATTCTGCAGATGTATGATCTTTTGAACTTCTTGCTCTCTTTGTTTGGTGGGAGGATCAAGATATGATAGTGATGATTTTCTCCATTCAATATTTCTCTCAATTGATTTTTCATTCCCACCTAAGGGAGGAAACAATTCTTCATTAAAATGAGAATCATCAAACCGAGCTGTAAAAACATCACCTGTTTTCGGCTCAAGGTATTTGATTATTGATGGAGATTCATATCCAACATATATTCCCAACCTTCTTTGAAGCCCCATTTTTGTACGTTGGGGCGGAGCAATTGGTACATATACTGCACAACCAAAAATTCTTATATGTGCAATATTTGGTTCTCGACAGTATTACAACTGTAATGTCGAGTATTTATGATATGCACTTGGTCTAATTCGAATTAAATCATCTGCATGCAGAATAACATGTCCCCATACTGAAGAAGGAAGTTTTGTTCTCATTATCAATGGTCTAGCTATGTGCTGCAGTCGTTTAATTAATGATTC